ATCTACGTCATCAAGCTCAGTTTGAGCCTGCGCAGTGCGCTTGGCAATCAGGAAGTGAGTGCTTCTAATTGACTTCACTTTTCTCCGTTGAAGTCTATGGGGTCACTGTGTCCATTTCTTTTACTGTCTATGGTGGGAGCCGATGTGTTGAGCTGCTGCAGGTAGGCGTTTAGCCCTGTAAACATTTTATTCATTAAACTGCCGGTTTAACGGTTATGCCTGCCAACTTTTTAGATGCCTCTACCATTCAATTGACTGTGCTGTTTGAGTGACTTAATGATACGGGAACTGGTGAGTTTCATTTGTTCGTATTATATGGCGCTAATAGTATATGGATCTGTTAGCCGGTGCTGGCGCTGGCTGTGTTTGTTTAATTGTACTGAATGACTTTATAGTGTGCCTATTTATATGAACCGCATGCATTAATAATTAATTAACCTTAATCTTAATATAGATGTTGAATTATGAAGTTGTCAACTACTAGTTGACCCGGAGATGTATTTTGAAGCTATTATTGATAATATTGTCTATTTATAGGAGTACTCTTGCTGATTGTTAAATTATTTATATTGCTATATGCAGTATTTAAATTGAATCATGTACATGATGATGAAATGAATGAACTGAGATTATGATTGTGATATGATGACTTTATGGTATTATGATTATGGTGATATAGTTGTGATGCTTGGAACCAGTAATTATTAATTGGTCCTGTTTTGTATAGGCCAGGTTCTGTGTATGGATGGCGAGCCACTAGGCCCGAAACTGATGCTTTGTAGTGCATGCATCTGCCGGTGTGGTAGGAGGCGCTGCAGCTGCTTCTTTTGACACACCTGCACACACCTTCAGTCATTTTTACACACTTACACACATTAATATTGATCTTCTGGACTGTTCCATCATGGACTCATTGGACTCTACCTGTTTCAAGGGTTGTGTGTCATGAACTGCTGCGGCTTCAAGCACTGATTATTGAGTAAATTCTGAAATTGTTGTATGCTCATTAATAACTTTGAACTGAATACTACCTATGTGCACGTGTAAATATTGTAAATGCTCGTTGTTGTTATATTTATGTAATACAATTCACAATTGCACTGCAGCCTTGAGTCTATGTTTCATTGAACTTCACCTTTTCCTCCTTGAGCTGAACTAAGATTTTCTGATACTGGTCCACTATTTTTACATACAATTGCAGCACTTATATATGCTACATAAGTGTATTGCCTAATGTGAAAACTGTGTAATCTGTCTTTTATAGTACTGTAGCATATTCATTTCAGCACTTCTAAGGCCGATTTGAAACATGTACATTGCATTGTTTGCTGTTGTATGAACTGATTGTTGAAACTTGAAAGTACTAAACTGAAAGAAGATCATACTGTTGTGTTTCGGTGATTAAACCAAATGTTCTCATTACATATTACAATAATCTTGTGTTTGAAAAAATTATTATGTGGACTGAAAACGTGCAACTGACTGAAAGCATTACATCAGGTTTTGAAAGAATGACTAGCTGTGTTACAAGTGTGATCAGTTTGGATTTTTGTACTAAGAGTTTTGAAAATGTACACCTTACTTGTGAAAATAGTACCAAAGCGAATAAAAAAAACTGTAAAAGTAACTGCTTTAAGTAATGCATCTCATCCTAATGGACTGCACCAGATTCCCAGTTCTTGTTGTGAGATGTTGTCTTTGTTTGCTGAGTTTATTAGTTAGGATAAGTTAGTCGTCTTTCAATTACTTCTTTGACTCCCTCAAGCAGCAAACTTTTTAGAGAACAATGTGTGTGTATGCGTTTGTGCGTGTGTAGCTATGTCATGATGTATTGTGATTTGTTCAAATTAGGGACCATATATTTGGATTGGGTTAGGATGGTGGGGCTTTGTGCACTTCTTCTTGCCACTGCCCCTCAAAATGTCAGTGCAGAGCCCTGTTCCTTATTCATTTATAATTATTTCATTATTATAATACAATTTAAAATGTATGTATAATGAATATTATTTCAAAATGTGTATTTCTAAATCTTTTATTTTTCAAACTAAGAACTTCTCTGTCAGACTAGGCTACGCATAGGCCATGCCATGTCTTACAGGCGTAAAGTTTCAGGAATTACAACCATATTTAAATATGCAAGTGAATAAAAAATAAAGTCTTGTTCTGTGTATGTAGTAGCCTATTGATTTACTAATTATAAAAAAAATATTTCAGCCATAATTATTAATAAGAGCCATTTTACAGAAATGGTTTTTACAGAATAACGTTAAAGTGTTAAAATATTGGTAATTCAAGCTTCGCGCTCACCGCTTTGATTACATCACATCCGGTCGATCGGTCGAATACAGTCTAGCCGCATAAGTTCAAATAGGCCTATTTCAACGCATCCGAAGCTCAAATCGGATCCGAAATTTCCGCATACGCATATGATCGGTACTCCATGCAGCTCCCGTACTAATCTTTAAGCCCCTCCCCCCTTTGTTACTGTTGCTATCTCGGACAAACAAACGGAGTTGCTAACTGTCTTACAATGACAGCTGTCAGTGTGAAAACCTTGTCCCAAGATGTTCTTGATCAAATTTGGACACAGTACCACCTCTCATCGAGGAGCATTCAAGTGGGACTTACGCCATGGAGGGATATATAAAACATTTTTAAATAAATATGGTGGTTAACAAGATTAATTTGGAACCAAGGGTTTACAGATTACAAAGCAAGCGGGAGAAGCCTCATGTTTTGGTCGACACAATCGCAGATGACAACATTTTAGGATCAACAATGTTCATGTACCGCAGGGTGAGATTAAATTAATTTACGTCTAACCAGTTCTCATGACATGAGAACAGTTAGCTAGGTTTGTACGTTAGCATGGGCTCACTAACTTTAATTGTAACTTATTGAGTAGGCCTATGATAACCAGAAAATGAACGCTTTCATCTTCATTGGGATTGGGGTTGAATCCTTAGGGAATCAGGTTACTGCCCCCACATCATTATAAATAAACCGGGCTTCAGTCGTATTGCGCAGATAATTGGTCAGTTCGCGCAAAACTTATCACACTTTTGAAACACGCTGGTGAACGCGCATCACAGTACGGTGATTCAAAACAGATCAGTTTTAGAAGTACCCCAGGCACATCGTTTGACCATTTTTGTAGCATAAACACCATCAAAACGATGAGAGCATTTGATCCTCCAATGTTTCTCTATGGCGCTGAAACCTAAAGATGTCCGAGTTCCGGTCCCCGTGCAACTGATACTCAACTGCCACTGGCTCATCTGTGTTTTTGACGGCCTGCTTATGGGACGGGCAGCTAGCGGATCGTTAGGAAAGATTAGATGAATGTGATCATTTATGTTTGGGCCTTTTTTGGGCCTGAAATCGCTGATACAACCTTTAACTAACAGACCTAATAATCTCTGTGTAAAAATAAAATAATGATGCTGTCAGTTCTAAAGTAATTTCTTCCCCATGTAACCTGACTCCAAATCCCAGGGGAAAATTGTCATTTTGACCCCCCTTTTACAAAACCTTTCATACATCTTTTTTACACGGCCTACTTAACTGCAGACACTGCAGTGACATGCACATGTACGGAAGCGTATTGCATTCACTTGAAGAAAAAAATCTACTCTGTTTTTCTGAATAAACGAGTTAATTATCTCAGAATTACGAGATAATTTTTCATGGAAAAAAAGTTTTTGCTCTGTTTTTTCTGAATTAACGAGTTAATTATCTCAGAATTACAAGATATTTTTTCATGAAAAAAAAGTTGTTGCTCTGTTTTTCTGAAATAACGAGTTAATTATCTCAGAATTATGAGATACATTTTTCTTGAAAAACATTTTTTTCACTCTGTTTTTATGAATTAATGAGTTCCTCATAATTTTGAGATAATTAAGTCATTAATTCAGAAAAACAGAGCAAAAACTTTTTTCCATGACAAATGATCTCGTAATTCTGAGATAATTAACTCGTTAATTCAGAAAAACAGAGTAGATTTTTTTTCCTCAAGTGAATGCAATACGCTTCCGTACACATGTGGTAGGCTCCCGAAGAAATATTTTGAGTGTCCCTTATTCTGTCCCGTATTTTCCTATAAAAAAAAAAACACTATTGTCCCTTATTTTCTTTTCCCGAAGTTGGCAACCCTACTTATAATGATCAAGTTTATGGAGTTGGCAGTGGGCAGGTGTGGGTCGCTATATTTTGCTCGTATTTTCAATATAAAGCATTTTGATTTATTATGGGCTTGTTATTGTTCGCAGTTTTTTCTGGAAAGATCTGACACCACAAGTAAACGCTTGTACCTGTGATTTCCTGGCATACAGAAGAGAGACATGTTCCTGATGCATGTTTAAATATGTCATTAACAACTTGTTCATTTCGGTTCCTCACACACTGCGTAGAAATTTTGTAAATGTAGTTTTCGCTACCTGCTTTTTTCAGCAGTTAATTTGGTTGTGGAATGCAGTTGTCATTCCCGTAAATTACTGAACTGTGTGTGTACAGAACAGGATTAGGCACTAAAAGGTGAATTGACAACTGAATTTAGCTGCAGTGTATACGTATACTGTTAGTCAGTTTCAGTAGATAATGTGTTTTTTTATTTCAGCTTATTTTAAGACTTTTTACATTAGACAGATTTAAAGTCTCTTTATTGTTTTCAAGAACAAATATCTTTTGAACCATTTATTTATATTTATCTATATTTTATTTTACTCTCTCCTGGCAGAGAGATCTGTACCCAGGTAATGTTCAATAAGTAGCCGATAGTCATTGCCCTTTGTTCAGTTTTGGTACAGTGTGTAAATGTAGGTAGATGTACATTCCGCAAAAGCAATGAACCTTAACATCACATATTAGATAATTAACAAAATGTAATGTAATGATTTAGATGCATGTAAATCAACATTTGGCAGTACAGCTTTCACGGGATCTTTGACATTATAAATCCTATGCACTTTTGAGTTTCAATGTCACAGCATTTCTTGTTGGGAAACTATATGGAAATCATTTGTTGTCTTTCATCAGCTGAAGCAAGTGTAATTTCCTTTAACAGGACTCCATGATGCGTCTGATGGAACCAATTTTCACTGTGCCTAGACCCATATTATTAAAGCTGTTGTACTCCCCTGGCCTGATGTATATCATTCTGCCTTCAAAATTGGGCTGTTCATACAGCAACCAGTGGCCATGTGTGACATTGCAGGACTGGCAGTCAGACATGTGAAAGCGTTCCTGGATTGACTCACAGTCATCCATCAGTTCATACTTTTGTCCGACAAAGTTCTCCCTTTCAAAGATTCTCATTCTAAACGTTCCTTTATGCTGCAATGACAAAATGATTATTATGTCTTATTTAGTAATTCAAATAATAACATCAATTTATTAAAAAAAAAAAAAAAACACTGTCTAGAATTACCATAGGGATCATTCTGCAAGATCTGATGCAGTCGCTCATGCTCATACCCATGATCCTCTGGTTATCAGGATATCCTCCTCTTCTCACCAGCATTTGGTGGCTCATGAAGTTGGAGCATTCATAGACCATGAAGCAGCCACTTTCCACCCTACAGGAGCAGCAGTGGCTCAGGTATGAGGTCACATCAGGGCAGTCACCACTGATCTCATGGTTACGACCATTGAAGTTTCTGTCCTCATAGAAAATTATCTGGAAAAAAAGCATGCTTACAATAGAATGTTACTCTTTGTTCTTTACTTTGTTTGTAAATCCATTTGAAAATACTATGTTCTTGTGTTCATCCATTAACAGCTGACTGTCAAATCAATGTAGATCTTATTTTGGATCTGATCTGGTCCTTGTATTAAACCCATTCAAAACAACCAATAACGTGTTTTCAACATAGAAAGCCCTTACCTTTCCCATGATTTTGCATTTGTTTCAATTGTGTCAGTGTTTTACTGTGTTGCTTTTATACTCAACTTGATTGCTAAAAATCTATAGACCATTGTTTGAACTTCTTACTCAGCAATCCTATTTTTTTTTTTTAACAGTCTACAATTAGTTACCAGAACTGTTTGCTCCTGCACCAGCTGTGACTTTTCTGGTTGTAGGTGGACAGCTGATCCACTTGTGTCTCAGTCAAAGAGAAATTGCCAAAGAGTGGTTTATTGTTGCCTTTCCCTATAGACCTTCAAAGCCAGGGAAGGGCCGTAACACCCTATTGACTACAAAGTTTTTTTATTGTTTATTTGTTTGTTTTTTGTCAATCTGACATTGTCAAGCCATGAGTCTTTAGGGAACACTGGAAACTCAAAAATTACTAGTGCCATAATTAATTATTTTAGCAGATTCTCTTAACAGTATGCTGTCCCATTTAAATACTTAACGTTAACTAAACCAGTCTGTAGTTAGTGTTACCGCTGACTAGATTTTATTAGCCAACACAGCATAGCTAGCAGCCAGAGCCACAAATAGTATTAGTTTGCCGTGTGATTGATGTCTAATGTTGCTAGCTGAGCAGAAATACATCATGTTTCGCTTGGTCCTTTCAAAGCTGCGTTGGATTTTCTCAGCGTAAAGGTTAAGAGGCACTGTTTTCGATGTTCATAGAGTTAGTTTCTGGAGAAAATATATAGGCTATAATCTGTATTTATCTGACTTTTTTTTTTAAATGGCGGGTGCTAGAGTTTCGCGTGTGTTCAGCAAATCAGCGTACACTAAAGTCACTGGTAGTTCCTAGTGTGCTGGGTTAGACCCTACTCTTCTGCCATTCGTTCTAGGAACTATGAAAAGGTTCCTCCGGTGCACCAGCCACTTATATACAGTACTGTGCAAAAGTCTTAGGCACGTTAGTATTTTCACCCCCAAAAATAGTTTTAAGCCAGTTATTTATATCTTTTGCTGTAGTGTGTCAGAAGGAAATATCAGTTTACATTTCAATGTAATCAATGCCTTGTTTGCTAATGTATATATATATATATACACTCACCTAAAGGACTATTAGGAACACCTGTTCAATTTATCATTAATGTAATTACCTAATCAACCAATCACATGGCAGTTGCTTCAATGCATTTAGGGGTGTGGTCCTGGTCAAGACAATCTCCTGAACTCCAAACTGAATGTCAGAATGGGAAAGAAAGGTGATTTAAGTCATTTTGAGCGTGGCATGGTTGTTGGTGCCAGACGGGCCGGTCTGAGTATTTCACAATCTGCTCAGTTACTGGGATTTTCACGCACAACCATTTCTAGGGTTTACAAAGAATGGCGTGAAAAGGGAAAAACATCCAGTATGCGGCAGTCCTGTGGGCGAAAATGCCTTGTTGATGCTAGAGGTCAGAGGAGAATGGGCCGACTGATTCAAGCTGATAGAAGAGCAAATTTGACTGAAATAACCACTCGTTACAACCGAGGTATGCAGCAAAGCATTTGTGAAGCCACAACACGCACAACCTTGAGGCGGATGGGCTAGAACAGCAGAAGACCCCAGACCCCACCGGGTACCACTCATCTCCACTACAAATAGGAAAAAGAGGCTACAATTTGCAAGAGCTCACCAAAATTGGACAGTTGAAGACTGGAAAAATGTTGCCTGGTCTGATGAGTCTCGATTTCTGTTGAGACATTCAGATGGTAGAGTCTAGGGCTGCACGATTTGGGGAAATTGTCATATTGCGATTATTGAGGTCAATATTGCGATATGCGATTGCAATATAATAAACAAATGGTTTCATGAGTCTACTTGCTTGGTTCTAAAGCAAAATGCACACACAGATTAGTGATAATTCTGAAATGTGTATTTCTCAACTCAAACTAGCAACAACAACTAAATGATTGATAACACCTATAATGATCAATAAGCCATTGATGTCTGGATCAAAATTAATTTAATTTTAATTTAAGTGAACTTCAAACAATCCTCACATAAACCCATAATAAATGTCATATTTACCTGTGCTCTTCCTGTCTACAGGTAGGACATATACAGAAATTGAATAAAGTTTTCAAACAGTCTGCGCTGCATAAATTATAAATTATATGGACTAAAATCCTATTTAAAGCTACACAAGTTCTTTGGTCAAGAGCAGTGAGTGTTTTTCTCTGTTTCCTTTGTTCTTTGATTAACTTTACTGACAGAAAGCATTATTGGATGCTGGCCCTTTAAGAGTTGCTGACAGAGACGCGGATCTCACACGCGCCTTATTCTCTCACAACTCTTTACGACCATCATAAGACTGCTCTTATGTTATGAAGACACTCGACAAATGATATTTTGGCATAATTGTGTGTGTTATTGTTCGTTCACTTCAAGCGGAAAGAGAACTGTATTCTGGCGCGCGGTCTGTGCATGCGCATGATACTGGCGCGCGTCTTTCAGTCAGGACATTCACAGGCAGCGCGCTCTCTTTTGACTAGCTGAATGGTTAAAGCATTCGCATGAATAAGAACGGGATCATGTAACACTAGCCAAAGGATGACAAAAAATAACAGATGCTGCGTTAACAGCCCTAATTTGTTTATTTCATATAAAATCGCAGTACTTCCAGCAGGATAATGCACCATGTCACAAAGCTCGAATCATTTCAAATTGGTTTCTTGAACATGACAATGAGTTCACTGTACTAAAATGTCCCCCACAGTCACCAGATCTCAACCCAATAGAGCATCTTTGGGATGTGGTGGAACGGGAGCTTCGTGCCCTGGATGTGCATCCCACAAATCTCCATCAACTGCAAGATGCTATCCTATCAATATGGGCCAACATTTCTAAAGAATGCTTTCAGCACCTTGCTGAATCAATGCCACGTAGAATTAAGGCAGTTCTGAAGGCGAAAGGGGGTCAAACAGTATTATTATGGTGTTCCTAATAATCCTTTAGGTGAGTGTAAATATATATATATATATATATATATATATATACTGTATTACCTTTTTAGCTTCATTGGACTAGGCAGTAGGACGAGAGGAGAGAGAGGAACAGAATCAGGAAAAGACCTCAATCCAAAACTCGAACTCGAGTCGCCTGAGGCACAATTGTGCCATATGTCGGAGTGCTGTCCACGAGGCTATGGCTCTGACACCCATGAGTATTTTAGTAGTAGAAAACAATCAGAATGGCTGTACTGTTACAGCATTAGTTATGCAAAAACATCCAGCTATCAGCATGACATCTAACTAGAATTATCAATGTATACATTTTTAGGGGTTCAAGCACGAAGTGCTGAAACCCTATTGTTATTGTTAATTTTCCCATGATGCAGCATTCCCCATATAAAACGGATCGGGCAGAACGAACCGTAAGTCGTAGAGACTTAAAACTTTGGGGGGCTGGTAGTACTCACACCGCCTACAACGTCACCAAGGCCCGGCCTGATCGGCCTGACGGGGGCACTACAGCGGTCAAAAGTATGAAATGGTTCATAACTCCTCAACCGTTAGGCGTAGGCTCAAGTGTCTTACATCGTTGGAATCCTTGGCTCAAGCCGGACAAGATGCATGCCTTGGATTGGCTCGTTCTTCAGGCGCCAATTTCGAGTAAATTGCGGGGGTTTTTTGAAACGACTTTTGCGAACTACTCCTAGGTTTTTGGTCTGATCGGAACCAAACCACTGCAGAAATATTCTCTGGAGTCTGACTGTCAATAATCATCAAAACAATTCAAAATTTCAATTGTCGGTAGCTAAGGGGAACCAAAACGTTTGATGGCACTAGAGCCACTTTTACTAAAACGGTTATAACTTGTGAACGGAAAGAGATATTTTCGTTAAACGTGGGACACATGTTTATGAGTTCAATCTGAGGTGACATGAAAAAAATCGTGACGATTGGCCACTTGGTGGCGCTATAACAGGGAAAAAAATCATAAAAATAGTTATAACCACATCCAACCGTTAGTCTAATGAAAGATGGCATGCAGTGTCTTTGTCCAGGGCACCTTGATAGTCTATGAGAACATTGGCATATCTAAAAAAAACTCAGTATACGTCATCGGCACAATCCCCTGAAGGAGCCTGATAATTTTCAAGCCAGCGTTTTTTCACGGGAGTGACCTCCTTACACTCCGGAATCCTTGCAGAGTCCAACGATACCGAACATACAAGGTTTTGCCTTATGGTTTTTGTAAAGGTGTCATTTAGAGCTTTAAAAAAATTGCTGTTGTCTTCGAAGATTATTAGTCCGATCGAGACAAAAAAAGAAAAAGAAAAACACAGGCAATTTGAAAACATAGGTAAATAGCTAAACAATAACACCCAAATGTCAAAATTATGATCGGAACTGAAAAAAAAATCCAATCAATGTCACCCATGGATAATTTTTATGCTCTCATAAATATAACTTCAAAACGAAATGAGATATTTACAACAAATTTGACACATATATATGGGCACACTTCTAGGACTACTATACGTGGTGGAGATCAGGCAAGACAAGGTGCTATAACTGTAAAAAAAAAAACTAAACTTAAAAAAATATTGCCTGTATTGTAAATGGTCTTTCCTATGATCTAAGATTATGTGTTTATTTGGATCCCCATTAGCCACTACAAAGGCTTCTCTTCCTGGGCTCCCAACAATTAAATACAAATACTACATTTAATCAAAAACAATAAAAAGTTAAGTCAATGAACCTAACATTCATTTCAAATATCAAAATCAACAATTTACTATATATAGTGCTATTAAATGTTCCTTAAAATATTTTTTTTAACTAATTTTTCTTGTGTAGAGTGTGTAATATCT